GTCAGTTATCGTTTATTCTTCACGGTTCAACCTGAGGCTTAATTGTCTCGTAATTTGTTACTTGTGAACAGTCTTCATGCATATGGGCTATGTTAAACAACTATATATTAGCACTGGGCGCTCACACTGATCAAGGACCTGTTTCAAGTACAAGGGTAGTTTTCCACATATGAACATTTTTGGTCTTCTAGAAGAACTCTATGCCATTTTCCTCTTCTACTGAGGAGTTGAGTTGATAAGTTGATTGTTCTGCAGAGATCAGCTGTCCCAGGCATAGTTTCATACCTCTTCAAGCTTAGTCCACTGACATAAACAGGTTATTGAATCATGCGCGTTAAACATGGCCTTAATCTTCATGGAATTATTTTTAAAACTCTTCAGTTTTTCTTTGAATTCCTTCTGGTGACATTTAGAGGATAAGGATATTGTTCGCAAACCGCACTTAGCTGAAGTAGTGTCAATTTTTATTCCGCCTCTGAGTTTCGCAACGGAATTCTTGTAGACCTCTTCTGTGATTGTTGTAAATAAAATGGGTGATATTGAATTACATTCTCGAGGGGTATTTAATTTTGATTTTGTTGGTGTTTTCCTGATGTTTTGTACTAGCCGTTGCATTCGTACAAATCGGTGAGTTTTTTGGATTCTCTGTCTCTTTCGGACGTAGTCGAAGTCGACGGCTTTTTTTACATGGATGAGTCAGAGGCAGAAAGAAGGCGGACGTTGCTCGCTTTTCAAAATCAGCGATGCACAGCCTAAAATTAATCAGTCGTATTAGATTCATTCCAGTACAGGTGTGAGCTGTAGAAAACTCTGAATTACACACTTGCCCGTTTGCTTCTAACGTGACACTTATTTAAAGAGTTATTGCATTATACATTGCCCTTACGTTTGATTCAATGGTCGTTAGTTCAACATCGACGTGAATGCCGGGGATGAATTTGCATTTTACAGCTGTATGTCATAGAATCACATTTAAAAAAGGCAAAATTATCTCTGTAGGAGCAGTCTTTCATTCAGTATCTGTTCATCGTTGATTTTTCAGAGTATTTTTGTTTAATATTTTGGATGGCTGTCAATCGTATAGTTTTATGTATTTCAACATATGTTTTCAGATATCTGCTTTGGTAACATGCCCGTTTGACGTCGTGAAGACTCGGCGACAGGTGGAAATTGCGGAAAAGAACATGACTCATGGTATGTATGTTTGTTATACCTAGTTGTACATAGGCCATATATACACCATTGTAACAGCTAGCTGTTCCAGTCAGAGTAACAAATTTCTCTTAAATGTTTTCTTTTTAAAATTACAAACCGGTGGCTAGTTATTTATTCAACGATTCCAAGTTTCGATTATCCCTGATGGTTCTGTTGTGAACGAAGAGTGTAGCAGATAAGACGTGTATTCGAAACCTGGCTCTGTGTGCTTTTCGACAAGTAATGATATTAATGGATCATTCGTGAGTAGCTATTTATCATGTGTGTAACTTTGAGCTACAGATAGCACTGCATTCTGAGAGCTATTGTATGTGAGAATGTTGTTAAGGAATGCACTTTATTGAATTGGAAACGTGTACAATGAATATTTATGTCGTTCAGAGGTCAAGATAGCAAGTCCATTTGTGGGGTCACAGTTTCAACCTCTGCGTACATAAAACCGAGAGAAGTTTTAAATACTATTTTTTAATGAATCCTCCTATGTTTCGAACGCATTCCTGGCTAACCTGCGCGAAAGAAGGTAGCGTATTGTTGTATATTCGTTGTTGATTATTCGTCTCATGACACAGTTTGTGGGTGAAATAGTTCTTTGTTTATTCACTGCCCTTAATTCAGTCATGCCAAGAGATACTTTCGGCAGTAGTAGTTTTTGATCAACTAATCCATGAGTTAGAGCACATCTCTGTTTGAAACTTGAATATTAAACTTCCTTTTTGCTTTTATGAAATGCTACAGGTGTTTGTTTTGCAGTAAACTTCATTGGCTTTATACATCAGATTCAAGCTACAACAGGTAGCAAAGTTTTGTCTATTGTTTGCATGACAACAACAGTCGATCACCTCCATGCATTCATACTTGACGTTGTGTTTCGAACTTTTCGGTAGGAATATTCCTGTTTTCATTGGCAATGAATTATGTTAGACATTTCGGTTGCTTTAGCATTGTAATGTCTCCTGTTCTTCATCGACTCTAAGACACTGCCAATTTTCTTCCAATCTAGATTTCAGTGAATATTTGTCTGCTTGTGATGAAAGAAGCCGTAGTTTGAAAAAAAATAGCGTTAGTACCGTCCTGGCTATTCTGATTTTAATAAGCATTTTAATCACAACGGGCTTAACATGTACTTGATGTTTTAACCTATTAGGTAGATCTCTTTTTTGCAAAATTGTACTGATTATAATATAGCGTTGGAAAACTTCTTGCTTATTACAGGCTGAAAACAACATAAAACACGGTTTATTTATATATACAACACAAACAGTATGGTCAGTGGCATAATTGACTAGTACCGACGTTTCGGCCCGTGCCTTACAAATCGTATTTACTGCTGAGAGGTGGTTTGGTTTCAGAAGGCATTAAGGACCTTACATTAAAATGAAAAAATTTTGAACCAGGTCAACTTCTCGACATTAAAAAAGGCCTTTGAGATGCGGGCCGAAACGTCGGCGCTGTTAAGTCATCTGATTGACCATATTGCTTGTGTTGTGCTTAAATAAGCTGTGCTCCATGTTCTTTTTTGTATAACCATCAGCGCACGAACAAACTACTCAGTCTTGCTTTTGACATGCAGATACAAAGTTTGAAAGCCAACAAGTTATACACGCACACACATTTCAATTTCTGGTGCGGGATGTACTCGCCATAAGTACACCGTCTCTTGCTTCTAGTTGTTTAAAGGGCATCTAAGCATGCCACAGTTCCTTGATATTTGCAGTGGATAATGGAACCAAGAACGTTGGAGTTTGATTTTCTATATGTATTTACCTACGAATAATGGCACATTTAGTTGATGCTCGAATGCGTTATTCATCAGCCCAACACACAGATGTGTTCTTGCGTCCTATGCACTGCAAGTGCTCAAATTTCATGGAACCGTTACCTGCTTAAATGGTCCCCCTGTGCAACTAAAATCGTGTGGGCTGTGCTCTTACATCGAGTAAATTTGGTATCAGAAACTGAAATTTTGTGACTTTCAGCGAAATTGGAAAGCAACTGTGTAGTAGCTACCCCAGAACATCTGGTTTTTATTTTGCCGTTTTTTTCAAAAGATCATTATCACAATGTTACGGTAAACAAGAATGCGGTTGTGATGCCGCACTGCATATTTTTTCAAGAACGCAACAAATCTTTTACATCCATTACTTATTGTTTGACCTCGTATTAGGATTCTATCAGTTTTAATTTTTAATTAACTCATTATGAGTTAAATTACCGTTTTTTGTGCAAGGCTTAGTTCTTTAGGCAACACTGCTCAAGTGACCTCGACTTGGTTGTTCATGCTGAAGTTGTACCGTGAAAATGGCATGCGTGCACTTTTTGCCGGAGTCATACCGCGGCTGTGTAAAGTGACACCTGCCTGCGCGATAATGATCGGCACCTACGACTACTGTAAGTTGCTGTTCACGAAATCCAATCAGGCTTGGACCGCCTGTGCCACTTGCTTAGAATCAACATGATGCGAATCCGAACCGCGCCTCGTGGGAAAGTGCGGATATCCGGCAAAAGCGGCCGTGGAGCGGCCGAACGATGCTCGTCGTCAATGAACGGATGACTCTCACTAGTGTTCAAGTTTGGAATTGAATTTTGTCGCGACTGCGCTTTAATTCGAACACCCTTCCGCATACAGCTGGACAGAAGCCACTTATTCTCTGAAATGGTGATATCTTGCAACGTGAGAGTAGGAAGAAGGGATCAAATTATTCGAAGGAGGGAGTTTTAGTGCATTTTTATTGTCGACTTCTGTCGCTTTCGATCCG